GCCGACACCAAGACGTACTTTAGCGCACGAAGACCAAAGTCGTAGTGACATTGAGACGAAAGCTGCTCTTTGCAAAGACTAAACAAAGGTGAATTTAACAATAAGGAAAAAAACCTGCCCAAAAATACAATGTATAATCTTCAATTTTTAAATGACCTACATGAACAATGGTACAATCTTATTCGCAAGGACCTCTGCAGTACGGAACCCTTGCGAGAAGAGCATAACTTGCGCGATAAGCTGCCGATCGGGTTGGGTCATGGCCAAGCTTCGGAACAACTGAAAATTTTTTCTTTTGAAATTTGGATCTGAACTATTTTCTTCCTTGGCTGCTATCCTTGCATTGATAATGCCGGTCGCACACTTCAAAAAAGGTCACGTTACTCCTCTTACCTGTTTCAAATTATCAGGCAAGTTCGATCTTCCAGAATAGCCAGGATTCATGGTGATGAAAATGCCAATATTCGAATTCACGTTCAGCCGTTTTCCAACCAAGTCAACAGTCATTTCACCACCCGCACGAACGGCTTCCTGTAACAAATGAGCAACATAAATACAAAGTATTATGTAATTGTGTAATATTTATTACATGTTTTATCATGGTATTCAGTATAGAATTTCCATTACACAGAAAGCGTGTAAACAACTGATAAAAACCGGGAATTGGGCAGTCAGTTAGGCGAGATAAAGCTTGACCAGATGTGGATGTTTTGCAAATGATGTTCGCTCATCAACTATTCTAAAAAAAATGTAACCTGTATTGTTTGAATCTGTTGCGACACAGCAGACAGCATACGCTCTTCCAAACGATTGAACTCATCGAAACATCCCCAGGCACCAACTTGACATAGACCAACCAAAATACGACCCATTGCCTAAACGCATCGTAAATCTTCACTAGACCAAACCAAGTTTCCAGGACTCAAACAAAACCTTACTTGGAAATCAAACGTCTCGTCGCAAGTTAAACACTAATACGAATCGTCCAAGCTGATGACCAAGTGCCTTCACGGACTCGGTTTTTCCTGTACCGGCTGGGCCGAATGGAGAGCCACCAAGTCTGAACAAACACATTTAGTATAAAGCTGAAAATCTGCGAATGGAATAGAGCTCTTAGCGACTTAAAACATCATTTATCACAAGACAGACCAAACTGCTACCTTGAGTGCAAAGCCTGAGTCATGGTTAAATAGCATCTATCGGTCAGTGGAGTACGAACAAGCCTTTCTTGAATTCCCAAATACTCGAATCCATAGTAGAACTGCGCATTCGCGATCTTCACAACACAACAACGTGCGGCATCTGGCTGCAAACAGCACAAAAATCACAAAATTAATCGTTGACACTCTGACAATTCGATCGAACTTTGAAAATATCAAAATAACATCAAACAAATCTTTACCTGTTTCGGATCGAAATAGAAGCGCATGCACTGCAGCCAACCAAAATCAGATTGACTCTTCACTTCATCGGCAGTGAGCCTTCTACATGTATCCCTTTTATGTACAAATTCCGTGATCTAAAATCCAGAACGATCGTAATTACCACCTTAACTTCTTAAAATAAAACAAAATAGGGTGTCGTGACAAAAGCCCACTTCACGGCAGCGCTTCGAAAGTTTTTCTTCTCTTCCTAATTGCTGGTTGGTCTTTCAGCACTGAATCCGCAAGTAGCGACAAGTGTTGCTGACACCGCTTGTTCAACCGATTCCACACCCTTGTTGTCAGAAAGCACAATCTCCATCTGATTACTCCACCAGATCTCAGCAGTCAGTCCGATGACTTGAGCCTACAAAAATTTTGTTGAACTTATGGAGAAGATTAAGACACTATACTGCATTTTCTGTGCGAATACTTCAATGAAATCATTAAAATTTTGTCCCCTTTTGATCAAATAAAAAAACACATAATACTAACCGGGTACTTATCTAGCCATTCCATATACTCGTCGGGGGTTACCGTATCAATGTCCAACTTCGCAAAATGTATGAGCGACTGACCAAGTAACCTGGAAAATAAGTCTGCAGTATATAATTAGGAATTGACGATGCAGAAAGCTCGAGTTTCTGAAGAGAAAGTAAGCGTCGAAGAGGAAAAAAAGGAGAACCCCTCTATAAAGAAAATTCGATAGAATTCCACTGGGTTTTCCTCACAACAAATCAGGAAGATACAGAAAGGCTTGAATTCCTTCTACATCTTGTGGCAGATTTCAGAGGATCAAATCATCATGGTACCTTGCTAGTAGCTTCAATTCCGCTTGCCAGGGGCTTTTCAAATCCAGTCTATTGATGCGAACATCTTTAGTGTGACAGTTTGCACGACCGATCCACTCTCTTCACTCTTTCACTGGCTGTGGCGCCAGTAAATCTGAACAAGAGGAGTTTTGCCTATCTTGACTTTCCATTTTCATTAAAGGAATCTAGATGCCACTCTTGTGGAAAGTCCTCGCAACCAACATAGCGAGACCACACGTTTCGCTCAAAATTACATCGGCTTGAATTAAAGGTATACAAACTAAAAAGTTCCAATACTTACTATGCGATCCTCCTCTCCAACATCAATAGCTGTCACTCCAGCGAACATCTTTTTGAGATGCTTCTGTAGACGTGTTATATCCTTGCTGTTACCCATAATCTCGAGCAGATCTTCATCTCCCACGAAGTAAAAGCTACAATGAACCTTTTTTTCACTTGCATAATTTCAGAGACTTAGCGATGGATACCGTGGGAATGATGCTCTCTCCCTCTCCAGATACTCTCCAAGAGCTTTTTGAATTTTCGATAGCATATCCGCAAGTCTGTCAAGAAGACGCTGTGCTCCTTGCATACCGACCACGTCAAGGATACGCGGCGACTGCGTGACTTTCTTCATTAACGCCAAGAATTCCGTAGAGATACTGAAAATATTATTTCATTTTGTAAGCACCTAATGCGTCCTTGAGGGAGTGAAATGCTAAATTACATACCTTGAGAATCGTGCACTTTCAATAGGCAGCAATGTGGCAATATCGGCTGAACCAGAGAACAGTCCTTCCAGGTACACCCAACGACGCTGCACATCAATCCATACGTCAAACATAGCACTTATACGATTCAGCTTCTCTTCCCAGGAGAGGGCATTCTAAAAACGAACAGTATTTTCCGAGCAAATTAAAAAAAACCCAATTTAACAAAAAAATGGATGAATATATTGAAAACCTCTTCAAACTGCTTGTAGTACGGTGACAGCTTCATCGCAGCCAAAGAATTTTGGTGCTCCTTCAATTTATTGAACAACTCGTCCCAACCTTTGATAAGTCTGGTCTTATTCTGGTAATTAACCAGCTCGACGTCGTACGATTGCCAGAAGTCTTTCATCTGAAACATTCTTTTCGTAACCAAATGAAAAAAAACTGCGGGTAAACAGAGGCGCAGAAACAAAAATCGACAAACCTGCTTCAAAAACTCCTCCAGGGCAAGTTCTCCTTGAGCCACCAGTAAAATTTGCTTGATTGCATGCTCATGACGTTGCAGATCAGCATCCCAGACCTACAGACAATAGCTCTAGAGACTTAAGGGAAAACGGTAATTTTGATGGCAAAGAATTGATAATATAGCTACCTGTCCAAGGGTCAGATCAGACAGATTCCAGGTTACTCGCAGTTCCTTCATCATTTGCCGCCAATGGCGTTCTTTCAGTGCCTCAGATTTCAGTTCCATAACTAGCATGTTCATCTTCGAATAGTTGTGCATCATCTGCTTGGCGTACTCGTAGCTTTTGTAGCTTTTGTATTTCACTGGCAGATGTTTCAGCTGATTCATGAGCTCATCAAGGGACTGACGCAATTTGCGTGGTTGAACCGATAGCCATGTCTTCTCCTAAAAAGATAATTCGTTTGAAGAGTACATAGCAAAAAAAGAACAAACAAAATGCTCTTATTATTGTGCTGTCTCGTAGCCCCATCAGGACCTAAATGTTGCACAACACGAAGAGGCACCAAAGCCTTCAAAAAGATTCCAAAATTCACAGAATCTCTATGTAAAATCCCACGATATTTCGGTGTGTATCATCTTTTTCAGGCATGGATTTGCTTCAGCCAAGGATAAGCACCTCTTGGGAGTTCCAATGTAACGGTGCAGCTCCCGCCCAATAACTGATTACTCTACCCTTTCTAACGAGAGCATTAAGGTAGCAATTTGATACGCGACAACTTGTTCTTCACCCACCTTCATTTCGTCAATCGACGTGTAGATTGGAGTCAGTGCTTGCCATACTCCCTTCAGGTCAGCCAATTCTTCCGCGGCAATGGCTAATTTGTCAGCGTCTACAGGAACTCCAGCAGGATCGGCCATATCAAGCGCATGGCGAGCTCGGCGCATTTTTTCACGGTCCTACAATAAAACGTAACGCGTAATATGTTCTACAAAGACACTAGACAATAAACTCCTCTGACCTCCGACAACTTCGCAATCTTTTGTTCGAAGGTATTGAGAGCTGCAAGAGCCTCATTTGGCCTTTGTGCTCCTTCGACTGGTTTTGCACGCTCCCACTCAGACAGTGTCTCTTGTGTACGTTTCTCCACCATCTCATTTTCTTCGCGAATTTTCGTTTGCAGGTTATTGACCTAAAAATAAATCTTGAAGTAATCAGGAACCTTTCAAACCACAAAGCCATCAACGGCAACGCGGAATACTACACAGAATAACGAAAAGGTTAAAGAATCGATAGCTACTGACGAGCTTAACCCTTCACCTAACCGAGTCAGAGATGGGGCGGGGGAGGTAATTTGTGTAACGTCGAATCGGGCGGATTAGAAGTGCTCCTTGATTAGAGATATCCCACGTAAGACCGGGTTTAGCAACACTATTAATATCACTAACCATCAGAGAGGGAAGTGGTGGAAGTTACATCCGGCTAGCCGCTACGGCTAGCCCTGGTTGACATTTCTAAGCAGTGTTAGCGCCTGTTTTTCAGGGAAAACCTTGTCTTGAAAAGATGGCATGTGTCTGCTACTTCATTATAAAAGACATAAAGCGAGCACAGCGCTCACGATGGTTTAAAGTGAGTGCAGATCATTGGCACATCAAAAAAATTGAGTGACTCACTTGAGACTGTATCGAGGAATCCTTTCGAAGGAGAATTTCCGTCAACGCTGACCATTCGCCCTCGACATTCTCAGCATACAACCACTGAGCAGGGAACTGGTAACGTTGCTGCGACAGCAATCGTTGCGCAGCTCGGAACTGATCTACCTGAAAACAACAACGAATTACTTGCAAAAAAAACGCACCAGTCCAGCGTTGCTGCTTGCTCACCGTCTCTTGTCCAACTTTAGTCTGTTTCTTCAACGTCTGCACATAAGTGATGAGTGCCACAGCATCGGTTGTCGTACCAGAATCAACACCCTGTGATTCTAACTCCTCGCGCCACTTTGAGATATTTCCGAAGAACTGCTGCATTTCATTTCCTATAATCGGAGCAATGAAAAACAGTATGGAACTTTATTCAGACAATGCACTGTTAAATCTGTTACTCCAGTACTTACCTACAGCAGTACCGAACTTTTGAAGGACTTCCTTGTGCCAGTAATCGTACTTCAACGTGACTTTCAACTGCACTTTAGCATAATCGACTATCACTGGGAATATCTCCTTCTTTGTATCCTAGAATACAGGTTTCTTTATCTCTCATCATTACGCTAATAAAATTGGTTCCCCCACTGAAGGTATATTTTTCAAAGCCAATACGGACATACCGTCCATTGTTTGAACACCTGATAGCCAATCAATACGGATATGAACAACATTTTCCGGGTCACTCGTTTCTGACGTTGACAGCCGTCTGCTAGAAGCATACCTGGGTGTCGAAGGTGCTTCGACTTTTCCTTATTTCCACAAGGGTCTTCATCCATTTCGACAAATCGGTGCCGAGCCTTTCATACAGCATCTCCGCTTGAAGATCCCATAGTGCTTGGTAACGAAGCCATTCATTCACATACTCGTCAACCTGCACAGACAATCCATAACTTTTATGGAACAGATGGAGTATAGATATAATTCAACTTCACCTACCTCCCTCAAAATACGGTCCACTGTAGTATAGGCCTTTTCGAGTACCCCTAGTCCATTAGGTAAACGACTAAGAATGTTCTTGTATGTAGCTACGTTCAAATCGCGATTCATTGCCAGCTGTAAAAAGAGAGTAAAAGTACTGGGTGCCACTATACGATTCAGTGCTAATCCTATTAGACAAAGTCGAACAGAAGCCTACCTGGAACCGAGTACTGCTGATTCGTGGTTGACTCGTAACAACTGCATGCCATTCCACTAACTGTTCAAGCAACTTGGCTCTCGCTTGTTCTATTGATGGACTGATGTAGATGGTTTGAGCGGTGAGACGAATCTTAAATTGGATGATTCATATCAGAGTTAAGCGCTAGAGCTTTGGAAGAGATGTCAATCTCGACTTTCGGAAGATCATACCTCTATTAGAACGGGATGTACCGGCGGAAGGGCTACGTTACTTTCTTTGTATTCATCCACTTCTTCACTTGCTGAATAGACAAGTGTCCACAGACGGATAGCCTCTTCGACACGAGCGGCCAACTTTGCTTCAATCTATAAAGGGGGAGAATTAGTGGTGATGGAACTGAAGAGAACCATATTTTCTTGATTTAAGTGTCCTACTAGACAACTTATATCTTCTCTTTGAACACTACCCAAATCCTTTGAAGCTAGTGCGTCATCATCTCAGCTGAGGCGCTGACACAAATGGCAGAACACCACCAAACTATAGCTAACTCCTGGATACCAGATAAGGGTTTGAGAGGAACTGTACGGTGCAATCAACCCATTGACGACTGCTGTTGTGCATGTACTACTGCAATTTTGCATATCTCAGCAGTCGTCGAATTTTCGATAATTTCATTACTGGTAGGAAAGATATTGCACATCGCTCCCCCCCCCTCCCTGATGAGCTGATGAGTACACACTACTTTGAAACGCGAAAAATGATATATGGCAGAACACGACCTCAAACTACCGCTAAGTTCGCTGGATACCAGGGAAGGGTTTGAGAGGAACTGTACGGTGAATCAAGCCCATTGGACGACTGCCTGTTGCTGCATTACGTACTTTGCAAGTTTGCATATCTTCAGCCAGTCGTCGAATTTCACGATGATTTCATTGCCTGGTAGGAAAGATATTGCAGCAATCGCTCCCTCCGCCCCCCCGATGAGCTGTATGCTACACGAACGTTATTTTGAAACACCCGAAATATTAGGTCAACTCATTCAAACATGTCCAGACATCTAGAGAAATGGTGGGAAAAGTAAAAGAGCTAGAGCATTCTACTTGCTTTTGCTTTTAAGCTAGCACACCCAGCTACGGTATCCTCTAATTTAGTTTATAGTGCTGCAGGAGGAAACACTTAAACACATAAAAGAATTCATAGTGACCCAAATCGAGGTGGAATTTCCAGATGACTGGTGACACACGTAAAATTCGCAACTCGAATTCTGTGTGTGCTGGCTCAACTTACGCGTGATACAGTGTTCTCGAAGTGCTACGTTGAAGATATGGTGTGAGAGCTCAAAGAAGGGAGAACGGAAGCGAGTTGTGGTTGAGGACGCGTTCATATTGTCCACCTTCCCCAAGAAGAGCGGGTGGATGAAATGAGGTTTCAAATGGCGCATCACAGATGTTGAACCTTTGCGATGTTTGCCCACGAGACTTGCAGTCTAGCTGCACCTGTTACGCAAATTGTGCCCAAAAATTGGGGATGGTCCACAGAACATGTTTTTGGATATCCCATTTACTCCCAGATGCAGGAGTCCAGAATCGAATTGGTGTCTGTAGCAATGATTTTCTCTGCCGATAGCGGCATTTAAGACTATCAAACTGGGCCCTGCTCATAAACGAAATTTGTGTGTAATTGTACGCTGAGGCCAAAGTCAGAAGTGTCAACTTTGGATTAACGCGAATGAGGAACTGCCCGAATTGGATCACGAGAAGTCACGTGGGTTCACGTGGATGATTATTATGGCGATGGATGTGCCTCTTAAATGGCTCTGTCGGGAAAAAACCTCCGGCTTTTCTCAAGTTTATGGCTTGTTTCTTAGCGAACAAATTGACAAAGGAATAGCAGTATAAAACTACAATAACGATATCATCACCTATGACGATACCAGACCCTACACAGCTCATATTGCTCACGAGTATTTCGATCGAACGGATATTGTGGCCTCTTCTTATCAGCCGTATTTTCCTAACTGCAGCCATGCGACCTCAGCTGTTTTATCGAACTGAACGCCCTACTCGTTCAGAAGCGCTACGACAATTCGTTGATCATCTATACTGACATCAAAAGCATCTTTGTGGTGGGAGTACTTGTTGAAATGAAGAAGCTGCGCGGTGTCCAGTGTTTTCTAGACGCTGGGATCGGGTCGTTAACAACGACAAGATCTGCTTGACTTCACACCAAAGTATTAGCTTTTTATCTTTCCTGCTGTTCATTTTATTCGAATAAAACCGTGGACATGTTTGAATGAGATGACCTAATATTATGGAAGCACTGCGAATAATTTGCTCGCATGTGAAAGTGTAGCCTGACGTCGGTTCCGCGGTCGTCAATGGGCAGAAATTATTTTGGATATTATGAACAACAACCAATAGAACCAACCTTCTTGTCCAACTTATCCACCCACTGTGTCAAATTCGAATAGTTGCCAAGTGCCAGCTGATCAACTGACTTTTTGAATAGAAGCCAATTGCGCACCAATGGTGACAGCGTTATACTGACATGTATCCAATGCCGCCAAATCAACTTCGATATTGTCAGCAATGAGAATCAGGTCTTCAACCCGCTCCTGAAATGAATGCCTTTGAACTTTTAAACCTACCAAGACTTTCAGAAGTCTTGATTAAGGAGTACGAGAACTACCTGATAGTTGTTGACCGTGTCAGCAAGTTTAGTGACGTACGGATCAATCTTGTAGGACTCCCAATTCAACTGATAGCCATCAGCAATTTGCGACTGTATGTCCTTCTTGTAGCTTGCAATCAACGTGTCTATTCCAGTCTTTTGCGCAAGCCGCTCGTTAATTGACTCGTAGGTCTAAATTAGAAAAAAAATTCACGCGGAAACTCTTTCAAAAACCACACATTTTGGTTTGTTTTTTCATTCCTGTACTTTCAGAATCACTCCAGAATCACACATACCCGCGTGGACTCAAGTAAGCT